CCACACACCCCGCCCATGACTCCTGCAGGCTCTTGGGTCAAAGTGAAAGTGAAACTGTCTGCTGAGCTCTCAACACTATTTCTCACTCAGTGAAGCTCTTTTCAGATTAAAAATACCTTTGAGGAAATGTATTTTCAGATGCCAAGTAAACTGCATCATGCCCCCCGCACCGAAATGGGCAATGGGAAACACATAATATTGCCCCTTTAACTTTAAATATAGATTGGGAACATGTATTTTTAACAGCTTTCATTGCTCTACCATGCAATGACAGGTACGACATTGTGGACAGATGGAAAAGTAACATGGAAAACAAACAAAACATGAATATTTTTGTTCAGAGTTACATGAATTAGATGACAACAAGAAGAAAAAAACAAAAGAGAACTGTAAAAATGATCAAAACTTATTGTTCTGTAAAAGTGTGGTTGTGACACCGTTATGTCATCAGTGACATCATTAAGTCTCCTGCTGCTTCTTGGGGCAAAACGACTCACAAGGATCAGTTTTAAAACTCAGTCCTCCTGTGTTATTTTGACCCAAGCACAGCAGGAGGGTAAAATGTGTTTTATATTTTCTTTATACACTTTGGGTCAAACTCACTATCTGCCTATGTCCAAAACTATTTGGATATGAAACGATTTGCATGCTCTCCTTGTGCAAATGTGTGTTTTCTCCAGGTTAGGTGACTTTAAATTGTTCTTAGGTGTGAGTGAGAAAGTGAATGGTCGTCATTTGTACATGTAACCTGTGCACCCCCCACCCCCCACCCACACACACACAACCCAAAAAGCACATGTGGGTTAAACACTGAATGGATGCATAATACGATGCTCTGGTAATTCCCATAAATTCTCAAAATTCCTACAGAAAATTACCAATCTGGAATATTTCCCAAATTTCTCAGTATAATTCCACAAGGAACAAGAGGTGTCACATTATATTACTGATTTGTTTGAATGTTGATACGTTTCTTGATATCACMAAGTCTATATGRTATGATTTCTATTCAAATCAATTCACRAGTCTGCAATCGAYATGATACAATCTCATCCTCCCATCTAACACAATAGGTCGGCATAAATTTGATCCACATAGGGCCTAATAAGATCAATGCTTTCATTTTGTCTCAATGTAAGTGAATCATTAACCATTTATTTGATRTACCAATATGGACTGATGTATTGTTGCACCGATGCAAGGATCATTTTCAGACACAACCCAGAACTCCCAATATTCATTAAAACCGGGACTCCATGACATCTTTCTCCGAGGTCCTCAAGTCTGAAARCACCTTCAGGAGAAACTGGAGGTGTATGCTATGTGTGTGGTGTTCAAGTTGCTCACAACAAGCCACTAAAAATAAAATAAAATAAATGGCAGCTCCGGTGTTAAAGGGCGGATCAGGAGGTTGTAATTTTAGTAGTTGAATGAGGTCTGCTGTTGATAAACCCTCAGTAAGACACGTCTCAAACCCTGCAGTGTTTCTGCCACCGTTTAACTGCAATCACCGCCTTTTCTTTGAGCTCTAAAACCAACCTCCACCATCCCACGCCCCTAAAACCTCAATGACCAAAAGAGAAGGACAAGAAGAAGACAGACGTGATCCCGACTGACGAAACAGAAGAAGTAGTGCTAAAAAAGTCCAACATTCACGAGGAGGGGAGGAGGGGGGGGCATCTGTGTTCAGGTTTTGTATCTTACAAACACTGTACAGGGTAATAACACTCCACTGACCGGGCTCCATGGACTTCATAGAAAGAAGAGAAACATAAAAAATAAAGTCAAAAAACAGCTACTCTTCAACTTATCACTTCTGCACATCTGAAAGAAAGTTTATACACTTAGTTTGTTTCTCTTCACCCTTTTTAAACCCACCCCTTCATTTTAAATTTTTTTCCTTTTTTTACAATCAAGTTTGGTTTGTCAGAGAAGAGGAGTGTTGTGGAAGAGAGGAGGACACAGAAGAGGGGCTGCAAGCTCGTACCGATCCCATCCCTGACCGCGACAAACTGAGCGCTCATATTTGAGTCCGGGACCTTTAAATGCTTCTAGTTTCAATATTTGATTGATAACCTCAATTATTAGTCACGATAACAAACTTGCTGTTTTGCAGGATGCAGAAATTTGTTTCCTCATTTTACAGAAACGGACAAATAAACGGATCGAATTGAAGTGAAGAACATGGGAAAAGAAAGCCTTTGATTTCTATTTTTCTTATCATCTCCTCTCAGTCTTGCAGCCTCTGCAGATATTTCTGACACGGTTGAACTGTGGCCTCACTCTCTCGTTGTAAAGCACAGGGAGGTTTGATGCACAGTAGAAACTTCTGCTCAGGTGAGACCCCTGACTTATCACTGGATCGTCTGTAGTTTCATTAGCATGAACATGAAAAAAAGAGATCAGTCAGAGGTCACACCCACTATATGTCAGAATAAAATGATTAAAAAATGTACAGTATCAACTTTCTGTTAAGTAATGCTCCAAAACATACCTAAACATACACTGAGTTCACAAACAAGTATTTGTTTAAAGAAAAAAAAAACAAAAGAAGCAGTAAACGGCTTGAGTTCTTTGTCGAGATGTTCTCYGTGTCCCTCCTATAGTTGCAAATATGAGGTCAGCTAAGATTTAGAACCGAACCGCAAGCAGCTCTCGCGGCCTGCAGCAATGCTAGCGACGGCAAATCAGCATCTAGAGACGGCTTTTTGTGCAGCTGGAGGAGGCTCGGCCAAAAGGCTGCAGGCAGCCATGTTGAGGCCRCGGGCTGAGAGGGTCTGTTGTTGCAGACGTGGGTGGGAGCATGCTGCAGAGCTCTCGGACYGTTCTTATTTTGGAAGGCTCCCACGGATTCAGAAACAAGCATTTGTTGAGCTTTTAACGCGACACCAGGTCACGAATATGCGCCTACTGCTGTTGCCCACATGCATCGTCCCACTGCCTGACTCTGCCACAGCTGTTTACCCGACACCTCGTCTCATGGATGGAGACAGAAAAGAAACTGCTCTCCTGCTGAGTGTTAACATGCAAATCAGTGATTTGCCCAGTGTATGTAAATGATTCCAAAGCACCTTGACCCCATATTCTGTGATTAAATGAACTCAGCCGCTGTGAGGACAAGATGCCTGCCCCCTAGCTGTGGCTTGGGGTATGGCACTGTTCCAGAGTGGCTATTTTTGGGAGTGTGTGTGTGTTTCTGTGTGTTGCTTCAGGTGTCTGACATAGTGACTGAATCAGTTTTGATGGCAAGTGTTTGTCTCTGAGTGCGAGTGTGTGTGTTTGTGTATGTGTGTGTGTATGTTTGAGGGCTTAAAGAGCGACACACAGCTATAGGATGATGCAGGGCTTCTTGTCTTTGAAAGGGTTTTCGGAGGTGGGCACCCCGACCAGCAGCGGGTCGCTCCGAGCGTGCTGCTCACAGTAACTCATCAGCTCGGCTGCCGCTTTGGAAACCTGACAGTAAACAGAAGCGTGTGAGAAATGATGGAGTGGAGGGGGTGTTAACAAATAACAGAGCAAGTATTAAATAAAAACTGAATTGAACAGGAAAGCAAGCAGAGAACATAAAATTCAACAGAAACAATAACAAGAAAACTAAAACTAAGACCTTTTATGCCACGGTTTCCAACAGAGAAAACTTTATAATGAGAACGGATACGTTTTAGTCTTTCATCCTTGTAAAATATATTATGCACAGTCGCATGCAAGGTCTGTTAGCTCCTAAAGTATGTGTTGAAGGTGACTCTCAGCTGCTGCTGTATGTACCGCCAAGTGTAAAATAAAATGTTCAAAAATGTCATTAACATGTTTTCATTATTTAGATGACTTTCTGAGTGTACAATCCTAGTGAAAAATGCCCCACTTGCATTTTAATATTATTTATCTGGTCTTACATTTTACAAATATTTACTAAGTGTTAAATTAAAAGAATAAAAAATGAGTAAGTAAATCAAATCTAAATGTGTAAATCAAAATGTAAAAGCTAAATCTTTTATATTGTGGTTAAATGTTGAAGTTTACATTCAAGTATTTTGAAATGGAAAAGTTTTTGCCGTTGGTGCGTGGCTCTTGTTATGACATCATCATTCTGAGACAGGGGCTGCAATGCTGCTAACCAATGAGGTATAATCTCATTGCTGCTAACGCTTTCCTAAGACATCAAACTTGCAGTTGCAGGCGGTGTTTGAGCAGCACTTCAAACTGCTGGACCAGTGGTACCATCCATATTATTTTTAATGAACACATTTTGAATTAAAAATGCAAATGTTAATTAGCTGTGATATCTGTCTATGAATTAGCTTGACCTTAAAACCTATCAGTTCTAGATGAACTTTGTTCAGATGTTTCATTAAAATGAAACCAGTTCATCAGATAATTTGCTAACACAACAGACAAACAACCTAGTGGAGCCCCAATACCATGTTTTTACACACACTCATACTCGTCCCTGATACTGGGGTCTGATACCAATACCAGTATCGATACTATTATTCTTTACTGAATGTGTTCAGTAAGTACTCTGTATCAGCGGGTACCCAAACTTTGCACTCGTACTCGGTTTGAGAAAAACTGATATCAGGACACCCCTAACACAAAGACACACACAGGTAAACTGCCTCTTATCTTTGATGGTGGTTAATAAAAGGGTATAAGAGGAGCTCAGTTCAATCTGGTTGAATAATGTCAACCTTTAGTTTTACCTTAATRCGTTCAATTCCTGCCTCGATCCTCAGCTGTTCCACCAGTTTCCTGGCCTGGGCAATATTATTAGTAGTGGACATTTTGATCCATCAGAATAGACCAACACAAGTGAAAACTGCAGGGATAAAAACAACAGAATAAAAAAATAAATAAACAAAAAGCTACCCAAAACACAGTGAATAAAACACAGAAATATGATGCAAATCAAAAATATTAATTTTAAGTTTGATTATTTATTTATTTTATTTTTTATTTATTTATAAAGTTTACTCATTTTAAAACAAAACAACATAAATTCAACTAAAATGTACAAAAAATTATAAAACAATAAAGCTTTAATTCCTTCTTGAGCAACAATTCATACATTATACACATACATATTTCTCCAACAAATTAACCGTTATTATTTTCTTAAAGGCACAGTGTGTAGGATTTGTTGTTTTCAGCGACATCTAGTGGTTGAGTGGTTGAATCATCCTCCCTGGTCCTCCCCCCACCCCCACCCCCCGCTTCCAAACACAAAGGAGTTGCTACGGTGTCTCTCAGGTGTCAAAAACCTTTGATAATTCCAACCGCGATGTCTACCAGCAGCTTCAGGGCTAGTGATGTTTCAAGTGGTAAGATTATGWGCTTTAATAAGTAAAATTATCCCAGCTACAATGACAGACAACAAATATTACATTTATAGTATTACAACTAAAACTGTTTTTGACGCCGCCACCGCAGTTTGTCCTTCATGAGCCTTYGTAGACAAGATGGCGGTGCAAGATGGCGGCTGCCTGTAGGGCGACCCGCGGCCATGGAGATATAAACAGCTTTTTATAAGGTAAAAATAATAAAACAAGGTTTTTGTCTGCAATGATTAGACATGTTTTTTATATAATTTTCATTAGTGATTATCTCACTTTCGGCTAAAAGAATTGATAACATCCTGCACACTGTGCCTTTAAATACACATATTGATCTGGCATTTTTAACATCATCTTCCAGATTATTCAATAATTTAAGTCCCTGGACTGAAGTACTCTGTTCCCTCAAACTGGTTCTAACTTTAGGTTTGACAAACATTTCTATCCCCTTCAGATTACAACAACTCACTTTTTTTAATGAAGTGTAATTGGATGTTTGAAGGTAGTGTGTTTTTATGGACTCTATGACTGATAATATACTATAATCAACAAAATCAGAGAATTTCAATAACTTCAACTGATGGAACAATGAATTTGATGGGTGAATGTAATGTTTTCTGGTAATAATACTTATAGCTCTTTTCTGTAAAAAAACAAACAAAACAAACAAAAACAGGATTTGTTGTTGTTTTAAATGCTTTTCCCCAAACATCAAYACAATAAATTAAGTGTGGAACAATTATTACATTGTACAACATAAACAGTGCTTTATCATTGAATAAGTCATTTACTTTGTATAATACTGCAATGGATTTGGCTATTTTTGTTCTTAATTGATTTATGTGAGGTCTCCATGTCAGCTTCTCATCAATGATGGCACCCAGAAACTTGACCTCACTGACTCTACAGATCTCGACACCATCAACGCTAAGTGGAACATCATCAGTTTTCTTTCTATTGCTAAATATCATATAATTAGTCTTATCTAAATTTAATGATCATATTAAGAGAATTAATTTATGGTAAATTTAGGACGCTCTAGTCTAGTTGTTTCAGTTTATATACATATATCAAGGCTGCCCAAACCTTTTCTCCAAAATGAAAATCTATTTGAGGGCTGTGGCCAAATGCAATAATATAATTCATTCATTCATCATTCATTCATAATTCATTTCTTCTTTTCCACATTCACTCTTTTTCGAAAAAAATAAACCACCTCAAGCGAGCGTTTCAAACTTTATGCGAATTAGAGGAAGTTTTTTCGAATCATGCCGTTTCCATCCACCTTTTCTGATGCGATACTTCAAAATGCACATTAAAAAACCTTGATGGAAACACAGTTAGTGCTTATAACGCTGAGTTCACCTGAAACTCATCAGACTGAAGAAGTCTCTTCGAGGAGAGATGAAACGTTTCACTGAAGAAGAACCCATCCAGAGGACCTACTTATTTTTTTCTGTTTGATGTTTTCTACCTGGATTACTGAGATGCATCAGGACATAYACTTCTCATTCAATCATAATTAAATTCACTCTGTATAGGAGGCACACTTTATATGGATAGTATGTATTTTTTTACAAYAACAATCTGGAATGAAAACAAGCAAAATGAAATAAAAGTAACGACTTTCTACTTCTGGCATTTAAAAAAATGTAATAAGTAGAAAGTACAGATAATTGCATGAAAATGTAAAAAGTACCCTGAAAAATAAATACTCAAGTAAAGTACAGATACCCAAAAATTCTACGTAAGTACAGTAACAAAGTATTTGTACTTACTTACTTTACAACTCTGTTTTTATATCAGTAAACCTCCGTTTGTGTCACACAACGCTGTGTGCAGGAAACTACAAAATGGTTGATTCTGGCTATTGAGGGTTTTGTTTATTTGTTTGTTGCCTGATAGTTTTTCAGTTTTCAGCAAAAATTCTGATCACATACATTGATTTTTTTCAAAACAGGTGCTGCCTACTAGATCCTGAAAATCAATAATATTCAGTTAATGATGCTCTCTGTTTTTGATCATATCAGTTAGCTTACCTGCTGCTCAGAGCTAACCTGCATTAGCAGTATCAGGCTCTGTTTTATTTAACTAATGTTTGTAAAGTCACTTATTAAACCATGAAAGCATTGTTTCAACTTACTAAACAAATACGTATGTTTAAACTCACCACAGGCTGCAGGTTCGAGTCTCTCTGAGCTAACAGCAGCTTCTTCCTTTACCCTTGAGCCAAAAACTCAGTAGTTTAGTTTCTTATCTTTAGTTCGACTTGAACAAAAGTCTTCATGGAGCTTTATCTGTCAGCCAGTTGACAGGTGACATGCCTGTTTGCCCAGTTTCTCTCCATAATAAGCAGCCTGCCGAGGGGGCGGAGTTTGTACACAATATAGTTTTATTTACCATGGTAACTCCTTCATGACTCATCGTTACTTCTAGGGATATTAGAACACAAATTCTGCAAATGTCATTTGTCAGTTTTTTTTATTTCCCTGAAACTATCAGCATTAACAGCCTGAAAATAATCAACAAACCAAACAACAAAACAAGCAGGGTAAAGAATCTCTCAAGAACCACCTGTTAGTTTTAGCAAATAAGTGACCTTTTTTTAGTTTGACAAGCCTTGTGGTTAGGAGTAAGCTTAAATGTGGGGGATATTATATATGCATTTTCCAGTTTAATTCTATACCAAAATCAAATTACCATGTTAACTTTAGTTGTTATGAAAACAGTATATCAAAAATATATTTGACTTGGCATCATAGTCTCAGCACTTTGAAATTAGTCTCTTTAGGAACCTCCTATCGTTTGTGACACACACACTTCAAAATCTTCACAACAATGCTTTGGGGGAGAGATGCTCTGTAGCAGGGGTGGGCAACCCTGGTCTTCGAGGGCCGCAGCCCTGCATGTTTTACTTTTTTCTCTGCTCAAACACACCTGGTTTGAATGAAAGGGTGATTATCAGGCTTCTGCAGTACGGAGGATCAAAACTGACATACCGGTAATTAAAAATAAAAGCGGAAATATATAAATTGACTAGTAAATAAATACACTTAAAGTGCACCAATATAATTCAAAAAGGAGAATTTTATTTAAAGTATATATACACAGACAGCTAAATGAATAAATACAATAAAAAATGTGCCTTTTAAAGTAAAAAAAGGAGAGCTTTACCTCATGTTTTATAATTTAATTGACTTTCATATTTATTTTTCCAACTTAGATCCAACAAATAACATATTTTTGCAAAAATA